CCCAGCTATTTTTTGGTTGCAGCCGTCATTGTTGTTTGGCAGGTCCGGGCTGGGGATTCAAGCCCGCCACCTTAGGTGTACGTGGCTGGCGCCTTAGCCCGTTGAGCTATAGGCGCCGAGCCAATAATTATTAGTCTTTAATAATCACTGCTCTATAATACATTGTCTCGGCCCTGGGCTGCCCTGCCTACCAGGCCTGTCTCTAGCCCATCTCCTGCCCAGGAAGACCCTCCCTCCTAAGCATCAAGAATTTGCTCCCTTCTGGCTTGGTGCCTATAGCTCAGCAGATAGGGCCGCACCCACATACACGGGATCTGGCGGGTTTAAACCCAACCCAGGCCTGCCAAACAACCACAGCAACAACAGCAAAAAAATAGCCAGGCGTTGTGGCAGGCACCTATAGCCCCAGCCACTTGGGAGGCTGAGGCAAGAGAATCGCTTAAGCCCAAGAGTATGAGGTTACTGTGAGCTGTGATGCCATGGCACTCTACCAAGAGCAACATAGTAAGACTCTGTTTCAAACAAAAAAAAAGTATTTGCCCTTTCTCCTTCAGTTCAATTTGATAACTATTTAGTGTAAATTATGTGTAATTGCACTAGATATACAGGATTTTTTTTTTTTGAGACAGAGTCTCACTTTTATCATTCTTGGTAGAGTACTGTGACATCACAGCTCATGGCAACCTCCATCTCCCAGGCTTAGGCAATTCTCTTGCCTTAGCCTCCTGAGTAGCTGGGACTACAGGTGCCCACCACAACACCCGGCTATTTTTTGTTGCCGCCACCCTTGGTATATGGGGCCAGGGCCCTACCCACCGAGCCACAGATGCTGCCAGGATTGATTTTTTTGTTTGTTTTGGTTTTGGCCGGGTCTGGGTTTGAACACGCCACCTCCAGTATATGGGGCCTGTGCCCTACTCCTTTGAGCCACAGGCACCGCCTCAGGATTGATTTTTAAAAGGTAAAATATAGCTCCACCTGAAAGAACTTACAGTCAAGTAAAGGAATAAGTAAGTTTCCAAATGTCCAAAATCTGAGCTAAAATAAGTTACCATCCCTGCTTTTTCCATTTTTCAGGTCCAAAATTCAAGACATTAAGAGTTTTGGGGCTCGGCGCCTATAGCTCAACCGGCTAGGGCGCCAGCCACGTACACCTAAGGTGGCGGGTTCGAATCCCCAGCCCGGACC